TAGAAACCAGTTCACTAAAAACATTGAGGTTTAAAAAAGGGTTTCGGACTCAGGGAATTTAAAATGCCGGATGTATGAGCCATCGCGGTGGATCACATCCAGCTTAATTAAAATTTGTAATTGCAAAACATAACAAGGAAGTGAAGTTGGAAGTGTATATGTGTATTTCTGTATTTGAGCTTCGTTTGGTGTGCATGTGTTTGTGTGTACGTGTGAGTGTGTCTGTGAGTATGTATGTATGTGTTTGAGGTTGCATGTAAATAAATATGTACACATATATATATATATATATATATATATATATATATATATATATATATATATATATATATATATATATATATATATATATATATATATATATATATATATATAATTTATAAATGTATTTACATATGCATCGCATCCCCCGAACCACCCTTTCTTTTTCGTGATGTATGGGGGAGAGTGGTGTACAGTGGACCAAAAGGAGAATAAACACATTATTTTCTAACTTCGAAAACATTGGACAAGGCAAACATATCTTTGATTCTAACTATCCTATTGATAGGGTAATTTCTGTATTGATATTATGATGTTATTGAATTTTTATTTTATATTGTGCGCTACTTAAAATGAAGGATTTTTGTTAAATCATGCTAGAAACTAGCTGCCCCAATTCTCACCCCACCCATTCAATATCTCAAATTATGTTGTGATTTCAATGTAATAAATTTATCCCAACAGTCAAGTACAAACATATTTTTCTATTTAAACATCGGCTCATGTATTGTTTTTACTAAATTATGGATCAATATAATAATATGTAACAGACAAAAAGCACATTACATGTCCGCAAAAGTAAATATGGGTTGCAAGTATACTCGAAAAACAGTAACGCCTAATACACATCAACGTTTTACGTCTGTTGTTTTTCAGAGGATTTCGAATGGAGAAAGCTAGAGGCTTGAATACCGAGAGTTGTGGACTCTCCCCATCTACGTTTTAAAATGTTTGTCCAAGATCCGCATGGGACTAGCAAGCAAACACAATACATTTATTTTTGGTAAATAAATATCCGCTTACTTTAGTCAAATGACAAAATGAATGCTAGGCCTATTTTTAAATGAAATTATTTTGTTTGTAATGTTTTTTATTATTATTTTGTGGTAAAAAATGGCTGCTCTTCTATAACCGTCTCACTTCTCTATAACCGTCTCACTTCTCTCTAACCGTCTCACTTCTCTATAACCGTCTCACTTCTCTATAACCGTCTCACTTCTCTCTAACCGTCTCACTTCTCTATGACCGTCTCACTTCTCTATAACCGTCTCACTTCTCTATATCCGTCCCACTTCTCTCTAACCGTCTAACTTCACTCTAACCGTCTCACTTCTCTCTAACCGTCCCACTTCACTCTAACCGTCTCACTTCTCTCTAACCGTCTAATTTCACTCTAACCGTCTCACTTCTCTATGACCGTCTCACTTCTCTCTAACTGTCCCACTTCTCTATAACCGTCTCACTTCACTCTAACCATCTCACTTCACTCTAACCGTCCCACTTCTCTCTAACTGTCCCACTTCTCTCTAACCGTCTCACTTCTCTCTAACCGTCCCACTTCTCTCTAACTGTCCCACTTCTCTCTAACCGTCTCACTTCTCTCTAACCGTCCCACTTCTCTCTAACCGTCTCACTTCTCTCTTACCGTCCCACTTCTCTCTAACCGTCTCACTTCACTCTAACCGTCTCACTTCTCTCTAACCGTCTTACTTCACTCTAACCGTCTCACTTCACTCCAACCGTCTCACGTCTCTCTAACCGTCTCACTTCTCTCTAACCGTCTAACTTCTCTTTGACCGTCTAACTTCACTCTAACCGTCCCACTTCTATATAACTGTCCCACTTCTCTCTAACCGTCTCTCTTCTCTATGACCGTCTCACTTCTCTATGACCGTCTCACTTCTCTATGACCGTCTCACTTCTCTCTAACCGTCTCACTTCTCTATGACCGTCTCACTTCTCTATGACCGTCTCACTTCTCTATGACCGTCTCACTTCTCTATGACCGTCCCACTTCTCTCTAACCGTCTCTCTTCTCTATGACCGTCTCACTTCTCTATGACCGTCCCACTTCTCTCTAACCGTCTAATTTCACTCTAACCGTCTCACTTCTCTATGACCGTCTCACTTCTCTCTAACTGTCCCACTTCTCTATAACCGTCTCACTTCACTCTAACCATCTCACTTCACTCTAACCGTCCCACTTCTCTCTAACTGTCCCACTTCTCTCTAACCGTCTCACTTCTCTCTAACCGTCCCACTTCTCTCTAACTGTCCCACTTCTCTCTAACCGTCCCACTTCCCTCTAACCGTCTCACTTCTCTCTTACCGTCCCACTTCTCTCTAACCGTCTCACTTCACTCTAACCGTCTCACTTCTCTCTAACCGTCTTACTTCACTCTAACCGTCTCACTTCACTCCAACCGTCTCACGTCTCTCTAACCGTCTCACTTCTCTCTAACCGTCTCACTTCTCTTTGACCGTCTAACTTCACTCTAACCGTGCCACTTCTCTATAACTGTCCCACTTCTCTCTAACCGTCTCTCTTTTCTATGACCGTCTCACTTCTCTATGACCGTCTCACTTCTCTATGACCGTCTCACTTCTCTATGACCGTCCCACTTCTCTCTAACCGTCTCTCTTCTCTATGACCGTCTCACTTCTCTATGACCGTCCCACTTCTCTCTAACTGTCTCACTTCTCTCTAACCGTCTCACTTCTCTAACCGTCCCACTTCACTCTAACCGTCTCACTTCTCTATAACCGTCTCACTTCTCACTAACCGTCTCACGTCTCTCTAACCGTCCCACTTCTCTCTAACCGTTTCTCTTCTCTCTAACCGTCTCACTTCTCTATGACCGTCCCACTTCTCTCTAACCGTCCCACTTCTCTCTAACCGTCCCACTTCTCTATAACCGTCTCACTTCTCTCTGACCGTCCTACTTCTCTATACCGTCTCACTTCTCTCTAACCGTCTCACTTCTCTCTGACCGTCCTACTTCTCTATACCGTCTCACTTCTCTCTAACCGTCTCACTTCTCTCTAACCGTCCCACTTCTCTATTACTGTCCCACTTCTCTATGACCGTCCCACTGTCTGTTCCACTTCTCACTACCGCTGACCCACATTTCAGCAATTTGACGACTTTAAAATGTTATGTCATACAAGTGTACATTTACTACCCAGTGTGTTAACGACCAAGTAATACCTTGAAAAAAAGCGTATTGAGTGGTTCTAATAATTTTGGATTATTCTAAACGGATAAAAGAGAAATAATAATAATAATTTAGGCGTTAAATGGTTTTATCCGGCTTCCCTAAACCATGTTGTTCCAAATTCACTCAAGTATAAAAATAAAAACTGTAAATATCACAGACATTGTTTCTTCAGGGGAGGGGGTACTTGAAACTGTTAAAAGTATATATTTTCTATATAAATTCCATTTCGTTCTCGGGGGGGGGGGGGGGGGGCTTACTGGAAGAAACTCTGATCACAGACAAAATTACTTCGAATTTTCGTACGCTATACGATACAACCATGCGTTTTATTTAAAACAAAAAGCGATTTGTTTAAATACAATACGAACAGATTTATTTCAACATTTGTATCCATTTTTTGTTTATTTTCCATTGTTCTTATTTCGGATTTGTAGTAGAAGAAACCTACTACTAATATTTTGAGAAAATTTTAATTAATTCATTTAACAATTAATTAGTCATCCAATAAGGTCAAATTTGATGTCAGATGACATTCACATCAGGTCTTGAACCACGTGCGGAATGGCAGAAACGGTTAGAAGCTTCGCTCTCCCGTTTCGATCTAAGATCACTGACAAAAGCACGACCGATGTGACGAGGATGCAAGTTAAAAAAAAGCTTGTAATAACTCAGGTTTAGAAAAGAAGGCTACGCGACTAAAAATAATCTAATGTTAATGCATTTATGAAATCTTCTTAAATATATTGCTTTAGTCTTTCTGCTAAGACCTCGATAATGTACTCAAATAAAAAATAATTAAATAGTTTTAGCTGTTACAAAGAAAAAAACATCAGAATCAATACAATTACACATATACATAGAAACTATAAACTCTTTGTTCCTGGCGATATATTATGTATTTGTATAAAAGGTCTGAATACATTGGCCTATCTGTATTATATTTATATACATAGAAGTAAATGTGTGTGAGAACGTGTGAGTGTACGTGCGTGTGTGTGTGTTTGTGTGTATATGTAAATGTGCCTGTTAGTGTGAGTTTTTGTGTGTGTTTCTTTATTAGTATTTAAATAGAGCCTGTTTCTTATTTAGTTAAATTATTGAAAGCAAAATAAAATATAGGCCTATACATGTAAACAATACATCAGTCACAGGCTTTAAAGAAAACCAACATCGTTTCTAATTAATCATTTAATAAACCTTTAATTAAACAGAAATGCAAATAGATCAGAATATTAATGTTACTATTTTAAACCTCAAAGTAGTCTACATTCTTCTACTCTTCAACATTGTATGATACATGAGTATATACACAGATTTTAAAAACAATTTTTTTACATGTCAACATGAAGCTATTTTTATCAATAAATTATTAATAACGGACGCCTATTTTACAATGGGTATACGTATAAAACGCTTGATACACGATAATAATAAAAACACATCTAATTTGATTATAACATAAGTTATGAGTTAAATTCTTGAATGAAAATCATAAACAGTGTCGTTTTTCTACTTTCTCTCTAACAGATCAATCGCAAAACATTTTATGACACTATTTCGACAAATAACCAAATATGTTGTAAAAGTTAGGTCGATTGGCTTTGATCTATTTCTGTCAGCCCTACTGTAGCATTCAATACATTGCCTCTGTTAGTCAAATTGAAAGTCCAACTCGAAAGAGCTAATCTGCCAAATCAGTTGACCTTGAGTAATGTTGTTCATACGTGTTAGTAAGTCTAA